TTCACCTGGTGCTGACCAATTCTTGATCTTCCTTGCCCTTTTCTCTACCATTTCTGCTGTTGTAATAAAAAAGAAGCTGAAATGAACTTGTAATCTTTCATTTCAGCTTCTTCTTCTTATCTACCTCCTTTATCCAAGCTGCATTCTTGTTGTATTTCTTTGGGTTAGCTTGTCAGGTGTTGACTGGTTCATTGCAGCCTCTCCACTGATGGATTGGTAGAAATGTTTACGATTCAACTGAAATTGGAGATTCGGCCTGAAGTGTGCAATTCAAGCTTCATATCTGATCTTTTTGGCTTTGGCTGTTATTTGCTGCTTTACTATTTCCAGTGCTTCTTTGATCTTCCTTGTTTCTAGGTGATATTATTATTAATATTTCTGTCCTGCATTTCTTCTGAGCTTTAAGGCAGCATGTGCAGATAGCTATCTCTTTTAACCCCAAACAACCTTGTGAGGTAAGTTGAGCAGGCCCAGTCACCGAGTGAACTCTGTAACCTAGAATTCCAGGGGATGAAAATGGCAGCTGTGAGCTAAATCTCAGTAGAGTCATGACAAAGAACAGGAACGTTCCAGATCCAAACCATTTCTTTAAGACCCAGTTGAGAAAGATAATTGAGTTAGGCAGACTAACATGAAATTAGGAAAGTTCCATGGTCATCAAAGAGGTTGAATGCTGAGGTTCCCAAGAAATCTTCAAGTCCAAAACCACTTCCAGCTCAGGCACAGGTCTCCTGTGCCCAGCACTAAAAATGTGCACACAATGAATCCTTCCATGAAAGGTGGACCCCTCACCCTTATCTGTGTTAGATCCCCATTATAATTCTAGGTGGGCGCAACTGAGAAAAACTGCCTCTTGCCAGTAACCAGTCCAGCTGTTTGTTATGGGCTAACCTGGCATTAATTGGACCACTAACTCAAGGTCCAATTAATGATTGGACAAGGCAGCTCAAATGGTTGAGTGCAGGACCAAAAGGGGGGGCAGGTTTTCTATTTCTGGTTGGTTCAGCCCCTACAAGCAATTCTCTTCAAGTTACTTGCAATACAATTTCCAAAGCAAGTCAAACATTATTTTTGTGGCAAAAACATGCATGCAACATAGAACAGACTCATAATACATACATTACTCTTAAAGGACATACAATAATTAAAGACTTCTAATTTAATGCAAATGCCACACATAGTCAAAACAAAAAAAATTCCTGCATAGACAAACAGGGCCACATGAAACCTTTGCAAGATTAGCAGAAATTGAGTTTAAAATTGTATTCCTAGTAACTGCCTTAAAAATGGCTATATACAGGCTAAACTGGTCGATGCCAGTTCAGTGTATTTCAGAAGAGTACTAACAATTTAAGTGACATTGCAGAAATCCCTCCAAAAATAATAAACCAGATCTTGCTCTAAGTTGTGACAGTGTTCCAAATGTTTAATCAACATTTCATTTTTGTTACCAATTTATGGCAATACAAAACTCAGCTCCAGCTTGCTGACAGCTTTGCATACTATCAGGGTTTTCAGAAAGAAGTCTTAGCTCAAAGACAATGCTTTGTCTATTGTTGTGGAAACAACACAGAGGTGTTACAACTGCAAGGTGTCAGAAACAGAAAGTCAGATTTGGATTGGCCAGAAAGCAATGCAAGGATAGGTTGAATCTGTTTGTGTATCAAGGCTGCTTCTCTATCAATCAGTTCTGTTCAACTATCTTATTTGGCCACTAATCCACTTAATCCTTTGCCAAGACTTGGTTCCTCGAGAAAACAGCTATGGCAGAGTTCCTGAACCAGAGGAACTGATACACATGAAACAGAGTGACCAAACAAAAAGGATACTCTGATAAATCCCAATGTTTGTAGAAACACACACACACACACACACACACACACACACACATATTTTCCCTGCCATCACCCCCCCACCACAAGAGATGGCTCATGGATGTAATCAATCAACTGGAGGAAAAGGGTATGGAAGAGAGAAAAAAGGGAGAGAATAGGGAATGGTGAATACATGTACAATTCATGAGGCACTTAAGTGAACCTTGTGTCATTGAAATGACTGACATGGATGACAAAGAAGGATTGGGCGAATTGGTAACATTTTATGCAGGACAAGTATAGATGATGGGAAGTGGTTGGACAATTGACAATGCTGACAGAAACAGAAAGCAAAATATGTAACATGAGGAGGAGCAGTAACTGTTATGTGGAGAAAGGGAAATGAGACAGGAAAGAGAAGCTGTTGAGGGTCCACTTGTGTCATCTAATTTACAAGATGGGAGTGTTCCCCCCCCCTTCTTGAACATTGGTAGATACGTATTTCCTGTACCTTCACTTCTTTCCATCTCGTGAATGCTTATATAGTACTAGTACTGGTGGTAGAAGTCATTCTGAAGGACTGCTAGTGCGAGCTTAGAGATCAGCAAATCAAGAACCCGAACAAATAATGTGCTCTTTATTCTTTATTCCATTCTAAGCTCAGAGAATATTAACAAATACTAATATTTAGGGGCTCCAGAATCCTTATGACTGCTTATGTTGTGAAGTATTTGTCAATTTATTTTCATTGAAGTTTTCACTTCTCAAAATTAGAGAAAAATTGAAGACAAATTTGCAGATCTATAACAATAAAGATTTGTGTTTTGGGAACCACATTTTCATAACTATCAACTTTCTAGTCACAGGTTTCTTCCCATAATTTTTTCTGCATGTTCTTAATTATTTTTCAGTCCTTAAAATAAACAGAAACCCACAACAACATTCTGAATCTTTAAAGAATATTGTTCTATAAATATTACAAGAATGTGCAAATAAATTATAGATATACAGTTAAGTTCAATAAGCATTATTTATTCCAAGGCAGAGTATTACTTTTATAAATATTGAATTCTGGGGCTCCCGCATAATACCGGTAAAGATTAAAGCTCACAAGTCAGCCTGCAGGATCCAATTCCTACACACAAGCTTCCGCATCTCTTTCATGATACCTTTAAGGCCTGAGGGGAAATACATGACACATTCACATCACTCATAGTTAGAAGAGCACAAGACCCCAAGAAATTCCCCATCCTAGCCTTTTGGCATAGGATCTGCTGCTGCTGCTGCAGACATTCCTAAGCTTGTGGGCAAGGAGCAAGATTCCTTCTCCCCTTGGTGGACACAGTTCTGCAGAGTGTTACAGGATAGCTTGGATGATGTCAATTCCTGCCCTGTTTTAGCTTAGTCTTTGCTAGAAGGCTGCAAAACCACTGCTTCAGTTCTGGCATCAAAGCAGCATGGTTGTCTATGTATGGTGAAAACAGGATCATTTCCAACTTAGAGGGTCATACTTCAGATCAGATAGAGACTCCTTAACACCCCCACCATTTCTGCCTTTTCCCAAGCTTATCAAAATAAAAAGTGGTATTTTTCTCTGTTTTTTAGATGTATTTTTTAGTTTGGGGAGAATGCAAACCTGAGAAGTTTAGATGCCACTTCTAGCTAGTGGCCCAGTCTTTTAATTATCCAATTTAATTTCTTTTCTTTTTTACCTTCCTAATTCTTGTGTACATCCATTTGTATCAACAATGATATGGTCTCACCATAATGGCAGTTATACCATTTGACACTGCATGTAGTCCAGAAACCATCTGTACCATCCTATGGAAATATGCCTCCATTCCTCCATGAAAAGGCAGGAGCAAAGCCACTGCAGGCAGCCATAATCTGGCTCTGGAAGACTTCTGTATAAATCCACTAGTCCCTTCAATGGACTTTAATAAGCCATGAAGCCCTGCAGTTAGGGAGTGGGGGAAGGAGCGGGGGCTAATAGAATGTAACTCATGGGGCGCAGCAGTGCAAGACTTTCTGTTGCTCCGAGGTCAATGTGGGCGGCTGCTGGACTCCAAGTGCTGTTGCTGGTAGGGAGGAATATAATCATACAGACACCCATCAAGCTGGCGTTTGCTGATGCCTCCATTCAGGATGTCTTGGATGTGCTGCACGATCAGATTGATAGCCACTAGACAGAGAAAAAAGGAAGTGGTTTGAAAGCTAAAATTGATAAAGTCAGAAGCAAAGAGTCAGTCCCAGGGTTTAAGTCAGTGGAGAAGCTGGCAGGAAGGTGCAAGTCCCAGGCGGCTCGCAAGCAGGCTGGCAGACATGTAAGTGGCTGCTGCCGGGTGGGGGAGAGTGCAAGGGTGCAAGGGAGGTGCAGCAAGGGTTGGAGAGGGTGCGTGGGGGGTGCAAGGGTGTGTGCAAGGGTGGCACAGCAAGGCTCCGGAAGGGTGTGCAGGGGTGCAGCGAGGCTCAGGGACAGTGCGCGGGGGTCAAGGGAGGTGTGGGGAGGGTTGGGGAGGTTACGTGAGGGTGTGGGAGTGCACAAGGGTCAGGGAGGGTGCGCAAGGGTGGTGCAGTGAGGGTTGGGGAAGGTGTGCAAAGGTGCTAGGGTGGTGCAGTGAGGATGCGCAAGAGTGGTGCAGCAAGGGTCGGGGAGGGTGCATGTGAGTGCAAGGGGTGCACAAAGGAGATGTGGCAAAGGTCAGGGAGGGTGCATGGGGTAACACAGTGAGTTGGGGAGGGTGTGTGGGGGTGCGAGGGAGGCACCGTGAGGCTCAGGGAGGGTGCACAGGAAGCATGGCAAGGTTCAGGGAGGGTGCATGAGGGTGGCGTGGTCAGGGTTGGGGAGGGTGCACGCAAGGCGCAGCAAGGGTCAGGGAGGGTGTGTGAGGGTGCACAAGTCACCGGCATGAGCACAGAGGGGCTGGTGGAGGGCGCATGGGTTGGGGAGATTTACCCCAACAACTTGCAACCTTCCCTGCTGGCTTCCCCATTGACTTTCTGAGAAAGCAGGCAGGGAGGTTGCAAATGGTGATCACATAATCACAGGGCGCTGCAACTGGTCATAAGTGTGAGCCAGTTGCCAAGCACCCAGATTGCGATCACGTGACCGCAGGGGTGCTGGGATAGTTGGAACTCTGAGGACCGGTCACAACCATCATTCATTTAGCGCCGTCATAACGAGGATTACCTGTATTAATTCTTTAAAAAGATTCCATGTTGTGTACACATTACATTAAAGTACCATGTCCACATAGTTCTTTTCTCTCTATTAAACATCCAGGGGTTTATTAGCTCAGAATGACAGAGATAAATGCTTTTCTTAGACAATGCTCAGTTTTCCAAGAAAGAGTGGAGGCCCCAAATATTGGGACATTACCAAACTCTCGATTCACCTTATCCCATACTCACCAAGATTATCCATACCTCTTGGGATAATCACATCAGCATATTTCTTGGTCTGTCAGAAAGGAGAAAACTGTGTTAGAGGAATTGCTGAGGGGACATTTCTCTGGCAGAAGATGGGCTGAGGGGTTTCTCCCCTTAAACTGCTTGTGGAACTAGAAATCCCTTTTCTTGTACTTTCCTTTCTACTAGAGTCCATGCCAGCCCTCATAAGAGCAGACAAAAAAGTGTGAATGGTCCCTCCTGTTTCCATAAGAGGACTCCCAGAAATACTGCTAATTCTAACTACCAGGTGTCCCACCAGGATTCATCTCCTTCTAAGCCTCCAATTCCCATGCCAGGAAAGGGAAAAACCTTTTACTCACAGGTAAGCAGAATTCTTCAAAGGCTGGCTTGACAAATGTAATATACTGTGATAAGATCTGCTCTAAATCCCTGCCTCGTTCACTGATATCTCGGAGAACTGCAGACAGTAAAGAAACATGGAATAGATGAGTGACAACAGAAAAAACTAGTATACAGCTACCATATAATCACAGGTTGCCCAAGCACACAAAAGATTAAGCCTTCATATGGCAAGTGAGCTACTGTGGTGTTAATGGTTATGGTCTTGGACTAGGACTGAAGAGATAAGATTCAAGTTCATGCTCAGCCACTCACTGGACAACTGAGGCCAGTTAAAAAGAAAGGGGTTCTCCACATCCTTCTGTCCCCTTGCTTTTTAAACTAGCCCCTTTTGGGTTTCAATTACCACTTTCACTCACCCACTCAAAGCTTTCCCAATAAGATCTGCTTATTAATTCTTCCAATTAGCATTTGACAAGACTGCTGCTTGCTAGACCCATGCAAAATCATATTAATTAAAGCCCTTTCCTTTTTGTTTTTTAAAAAAGGCTTGCATTTCAGAATTCTCCTAACTATACCACTCACTAAAAACACCTATATCCAGGAGAATGAGGTCAGATAGAAAGAGCTGGTCAAAGGAAAGGCAGTGCCAAGGTTGGTGGTCAAGGGAGGGGGAGAACAACTGATGTAAGGAAGCTTGATTTTAGTACTTTGCCTGTTCTTCCTGATGAAACAATGATGCCACCAGCTGGTAACATGGTGGGAAAGGCTGAGAAAGGACCCAGTGCTGGGAGAGGAACTCTTCTGCCTGCACAAGCTGAGGTGGTGTTGGTGTTGATGATGCATCAGGCAGTCAGCTTACTCCCCTCCAGTAGCAATCTGGGACTGAAGACAACGGTCCAGAGGAGAAAGGGCTGCCACTTTCTGAATCTGGATTCACAGCATACGGTGGAAATGGTGACAGAGGCAACAGAAGACCTCCTGCTTTCACCAAAGTGAGTATGCTGAGGGCTCAAAGGAAGCATGGTATGGCTTATGCTTGAAGACTGTCTGCAACTACTGCAGGGTCCAGATCAGCAGGGAAAGGACTCCAGGCATCTTTTGATTTTGGGAATGCTTTAACACCTGTAAATCCCAGAATTTCTAATGATGGCATAGGTGCTTGACATGGCTCAAGGCAGATGAGCTCAATGTAGCCATGAATCACATTGCTAGCTGAGTGCACTGCTTCCTGGGCAGCCATATTTCAGCTGGCAGGGACAGTAGGCACAACAGACAAACGATACATTTTGTCGGCATCAGCTACCTTGCTCACAAACTGTATCTGATTGTGCAGGATGGTCTTGGTCTAGAGGGGGTGAGCACTAGAACCATTATAGCTAACACCAAGGATACCATCAATGCTTGTGCAGGCAAGTACTGTAAGATCATGGGTTTCACTCAAGTGTGAAGGAGAGGAACATGGTCCCTTAAGATGTCCCTACCCCCTGGAGTTTCAGCTGTTGTTCAAGCAGCAAGTGGCTACACATAACAAGGCAAGGCATTTGACCAGGTGTCTCCTTGACCCCTGGCATGAAAACTCATAACTGAGACAGTTTCTGCACCTGAGCCATTATTCTTAGTAACAAAACACTTAAGCACAAAGATGGCCATTCTGAGCCAGGTTCTTTTCCTAGAAAAGAAACCAACCATTAACTGCAAACTGAACTTCATATGAATGGGTCACCGGATTCCACCCTTCAGAAGAAGAGCAGATGGAATGCTGGAAATCGTATCAAAACTGTGTTTGCAAGCATGCATATGCACTACTGTGCCTAAATTCATACAAAAGTGATGAAAATTCAGGAAGTACTATGTGCTGGTTTGCTGCAGAATGCTTTCAAAAATGCAGAGCAACTCTATACTGGATGGCCTGCTAAAGTGTGTGCAGTCTGTGCATGCTCTTGGTTCCCACTGATGCTGTTTACTCAGGATATGTATGCAGTAAGAGTGTTATCTTCAAAGACACTCTGAAAACTCCACAATCCACAGAACAAAAAGTGTGCAGAGTTACATGCATACCTTAACTCAGCGATACGTTTTTTTTCTCCTGAAAGAGCTATGTTTGTTTTAAACATGCAAAAGACTCTGTACTGATTGTTCTGCTAAATGTAAGCATGTATGAACGCTCTGCTCATGACCTTGTTCACTGCTGATGCAGTCAGTAGTGCATTCTGTATCTTTCTCTGCTGCCTAGCCATCAGCCAATGTTTTACCACCCAAGAGATTTGTTCTCAATCTTACTATTTCTCATAGGGAAAATACCTGAAACCATTTCAAAGTTTATTTTGGATTTATTTTGGTTTATTTCACCAAAACTGTGCCAGACGTGAAATGGGTCAACAGAAATTCAGGAATGCAGCATTCTGAGTTTGAAACAAAACACATTCCCAACTGCTCTTGTGAATTAAAAACTTCTCCCAAGAATAATCACTTGTGTTTATTAATCTGGATACACCTGCATACTCACACAACTGATGAGAAGTATTTGCCCAGTATATGCATATACATTTGGTCTTGTGCTAATGCTGTAAAGAGAGGGTCATCCTACAACTTACCCCTACGGGAGAGCCGAGTGTCTGGATCTGTGTCCACAAAGAGTTTCATCTGGAAAAGGTCCCGGACTTCCTCGTTATAGAAGACTAGGATGCCCTCAAATAGTACCACATCAGCAGGATACACACTTACTGTTTCTTCTTTGCTATTAACATGCGCAAAAAGATTCCAATGTAGTTGGAAAACAAAACAAGCAGTTCTAATAGAAAGAGTAACATCGCTTCCACACAGCAGTGGGTGAGTGACCAGGAAGAAGAAACAGGAGTTTGACAAGGGAGCTCAGTAAGGGAGGTCAAAAGGTCCACATCCTACTCTGTGATGTGGAGCCATAGCACCTGCTTGCAAAGCCCAAGCCAGGACCCTGTCCGCTAGCCCCTCCCCTGGAGTGACAGCGACCAAAGCTTTGCCACTTCTCTTACTGCATAGGACACTCGGCTTCTGCCTCTAACTTGGGAATGCAGCATGCTAGCTCCCATTTAAATGCCTGCCAGCTGAGAGCGGCCCTCCAGATCATTGGCTGAGACCTCCCAATCCACCCCGTAGCTGCTTCCAGCTGCCACTGCCACCAGGACTCACATTCCCTCCCTGCCCCCAAAAGCTCACTTACAAAATCATTGTTGGAAATGCAGCCAGGGTAGTTCATTTTTTTGAGACCTCCTGCCAGCTTCCC